GGACGTAGGTTAAGTCATGTTTAAACATGTTTAAACATATAGTAAAAGGAACACATACTGTACTCTGATTACACACAAGAAAGTTTTCGAGTTTTACATTTCTGTGTACAATTCCCTTAGAATGAAGGTACATGACGGCCGAACCAGTTTGTGGAATATATTTCTTTAAATTGTCTCGAAGTGCTGGATGGCACAGCATTGCATCACAAATATTTCCTTCAGGAAAGCTTTCAGATATCTGAAACACAAGATCACCAATTATTTAAGTCTTGAAAGGTAAAATATTTTTATGTCAAACTCGTCTGGGTAAGAATGTCATTGGTGCATTTTTTCTGTTTTAGATAATCAATCTGCTTCACCGGTTTTGGCTTGATGTGAATCAACTCTACTGCTATACATTCTCTCACAAAACGTAAATATGTATTCAATTTTACAAGCCAAATTTGTGTAAACAAGAAATGAGGAAAAATCAAGCCCGAACTTTGTATTATTACCAGAAGTTGAAAGCTGCGGTTGATAACACAATGTGAAAGCTGACAATGCTTCATATGTTACGCAAATCGAATGCAATAGTTGTTTTATTATCTATTTAAAAGCTTTGAAAGACATCAGGACTTGTCGATCGAATTCGTCGAAATAATGAAAAGTTCTCTTGCCATTTGCAGAAAATGTCTCCTTTCATAAATCTATCTAATATCTAATTTAAAACTACTTCTTTTAAAAATGAGAACATGGCTAAAAGCGGCGACATATTGTTTTTGTCGGGTTTCCATATTTCCCATTTCCTCCACAACGTGATGTGATCACGTTGAATATGATTATTTTCATGCATATCATCATAATTATGAGGTATTGAGGTCACTCCCTTGAAATGTCAAAACTCCATATTTACACACTCTTTTCCACCTCACAAACGTTTTTTTACATATTGTTTTATATTTCAAACTTTCCCATTCCATTAATATACTCATCCCCGAGCCAACGGCGCGGGCGTCGTTCCGGGTGTAAGCTCGGGGGGTAATTCCGCCTGGCTATTTACACCTTGGGAAAGAAAATCGTTAGCGAAGTCTAAAATTTATTGTTGTATAGTTAAAAAGTATTAATCTTTCAACAATTTTGCCGCTTTGACGTTATATAAAATTAAAAATCTAAAAATATCTTGTTCTCATGGCAACACTAGAGGCACAACACAAGCTTGCGTTCAGTGTTGGCATTTCCGATTATACTTCATGTTAAATGAATGCTTGGCGAGAAAATATAGGCGAGGGGTTGCTATATGCATGTATTTCTAATCTATTTTATAAACGAAGACTGTCTTAGAAACTAAATCAACTTCTTGAACAGAAACAGGCAAGACGCATGAAACTCAGCATGGACCGGATCAACGGTTTTTTTATCATTCCAATATTCCATTTCTTGGATAACTAAAAACTATAATAGGCCATGAAATTCCACTGCCTTACCATTTCCAGTTTAACAGGTCCAAAAGGATTAACATGTAGCACCTTGACAAGTTGCGCGCAATCCAACTGTTGTAATTGCTCAACAAGTTTTCTATCTTTAAATTCCATGTACTCAACTACGATAACTTTCTTGCATGTCCTTCCCTGTGATGCAACGTAAGATATAACTAACGTAACGTAATGTATCTGAACACAATTCAACACAACGTGACACGAATGACGAAATTTACGCACGTGTAATGTAATAAAATTGAAATATAATATCAATTTATGATATAAATGTAATATAACAATTCATGCATGTGCTGGTAGCAAATGAATAAAGTTTAAACTGTTGTCGACTGTTTAGTGCTATAGGTAAATATAGGTGGCTAGTGGTACACGATTTATTTAATTAACCAAATCTCATGTACAAGTTATTATAGGTTTTATTATGCTTTGGATTTGCACAATGGTGCTAATTAATAAACGTGATAAAGTTCACATTTTTGAAATGTTTTTCATTGTTACTTTAGTTTAAAGTAAGCGCTGAATGGATGCATTCGCGACGCAACGTTTCGACGAGCGATGCATGGAAATGTTTACTTACCTTTTCGTTCCATTTCATTACACCCAAAACTGGTTTTCTGATGGACGTATCTGGGTTTATGTATCCGTATGAATATCTTTCCTAAATAAAATGAAAACAATAGAAAAAGTAAATCTTAAAATTATAATCTTAAAAAGAAAAAAAGCTGGCGCTCAAGCGAAAACACCAGTATTAATTATTTCTGTCAAACTACACAATGTATAGCGCTTGAATTCTTTACAAACTGTGTGAATAACTTTCAAAATTGCTGCACCTTCTCAGAGGGTGAGAGTAGAAATAGTCGATTTACCTGAAAAGGTTGCCACAACAGCCAGTTTCATGCAAGAGGAATCATCAGGTGGCTGACAAACTGCTAATAGTGGGCTGCTTAAATCTTTAGCTGTCGGAAACGTGGACGTGTGCATGGGCGTCAAACAATACATGCATTAAGTTCTTTGTATGTTTGCATGGTGATAAAATATAATAGGTTTTGTTTGTGGAAACACCACGTAAATTTATTACTGCAGTAATAAATTTACGTGGTGTTTCCACAAACAAAACCTATTAATACATGCATTCCTTAATTCTATCCCTTCATTCGAAAGTATTTCCGATTTTTTGCTACGTAATTTTACTCGTGGAAATATTTCGTTGTTTCTATGAACCCAATCAGTTATATACCTCATCATTCTCTGAGGAATATCCCAAATTCCAATTGGAGTCTATAAAACATTTTAAAAAGAATAAAAACACGTGAAATGAATTTATCCTGCATTACATTGTCTCTACTGACTCTACAGTATGTCGATCCGACTCTAGATTGAACGCACAATTGATTGTCATGACTGATAAAAGATTGAAAGTATACAAATATAATATTATCTCTAAGTATTTAATGCGACAGTATTGGCCGAATAAAAATTGCAATTTTATTAAGAGTTTTGAGCACTTTGTCAAGACATTGAATGTAGAACCAATTTGGTTTGGAATGAATGTAAGTTATATTGTATTATGGCTATACTGTAGTTGAAGGAGGAAACTGTAAAATATCCTCTCCTTCCTCATACAACCACCGACGATGTGAGTTATTTTTTTAAACGTTTGTTATGGCTTAATACTTAGAAAGATTGGACAAATAAACCAAAGCCCCTATAGGTTGGAGTCCCACTGGGGTCAAGCAATATATGCAGCATTCCGCGGCCGTGGACACACTCAGGATAAATATTGGGTTAGAGGAATTAGATTGAGTTCCGAAATATCACCTGTTCGAACAGACATGATCCCATAGCTCAGCTGGTATAGCACGCGTGCAGGCCCAAGGGAAGAATAGTGGGCCTGCAAGCAAGGCCCGGTATTTTGTACTTTCCGCGTTCGCCCACGAACGCAGCATTTTGATTGGCTGTTTGCTGTTGGATTCTATAATTAGATCAGTGATTCATCACAAAGGCTCTCGATAAGCTTAAGAGGCCGTCTCCCTAAGATCCACCTACTGACTCTCGCGTTGAAAATTATTTTCCCTTCATATTTCTATAATTTGTTAGCCTTTGTTAGTATGTAATAAATATGCATACATCTTTTGGATTCTTGTTTTATTTTTCAAGTTTTGCTATATTTTCTATTTTGCGTCTGCCATAGCTATTTTTAGACAGTTTCAGACGTAAAATTATCCATTTTCAAAGGAACTCCAGATATGTGTACGACGTAATTTGATTTTGATTTTTGGGTCATCCGAAAGATTTACATCTATACAACAACTTAACGGCAATGATTTGAATATATTACAGGAATTCAGGTTTTTAATTTTTTTTTTCTAACGCCAATTACGACGTGCCGGCAATATTGCGAAAATAACCATCTTTCAACTTTGTTTTTTTCAAAAGTGCAACCAGTTATACACCCAGACTAAACTTGAAATTATACTACAGATATTGTTCTATAATTCTATGAAAAAACTTTTTTGGGGAACAAACTGGTGCGCTCTGAATTTAAATGAAATATTTGCAAATTTGACGTGGCATTAACTACATTCGGAAATTATCATCTCAGTATGACATTGAACAAACAACTTAAATCATATGTTTAAGACATTTGATCATGTCTATTTGACATTTCCAAAGAATAAGAACAATATTTCACGCATGCTGTTTGTTTTCGCTAGCATACTTTTGAAATAGATAAAAACAAGCGTGTCCCTTGGTATAATTTCAATCACAAAAATGAGTCAATTAAGGGTTTTCTATATATTCATCCAGTTTTATCAAATGTTTATTGCTGTAGTATCTGCATAAGCATGCAAACACTCTTGTGAACATAAAATAACATTCAAAAGTTGACGGGAGCAGAAAATAAGAAACATACAGCTTAATAGTAAAGCGGGTTTTCCCCCAAGGTAGCTATTCAAATGTGCTGTGCTATTTTTAGACTGAGTCATGTTCATTACATCATTCCCTTTTTAGAAACACGTGCCTAATAAATATAACGTACATGCGCTGAATTCAACTTAAACTATTACCTAAAACTGTCATGGATTTGCCTTGTTTCTTGTCCGATTATTTTGATTATCAATGTGGAAATTTCCGGGGGAAATCTGACTGTGTTAATATCCTTGAATGTTCAGATGATGTGAGCACTCACTTGTCGAGATGTCATCTGTCAAGAGAAAAACTTTGCGAATATGAGCTTATTTTATTGCGTTGCGGAATGTTTGATATTTCCCATGATCTACTACAACATATGAGAATTTGTCCTAACCATCGGTATAATTTGGGAAAATTCTGGCGTCCATCACGTGTTTGCCAATACCCACTCCATACTGGTTCAAACTCTGCCGTTACGGGGAATCACGTCATAACACTACAGCTTACCAAAGACGCACATTTACTCTTTGGAAAAACAGTGCCTATCGGATCTCGCAAGTACTTATTCTTATCTTGGAATCGTTTCCTCGATTTTTTCTTCGACAATACAGCATGGACCTTTCTCTATTTTTAGCAATATGCCGAGAATGTAGAGGAAAGCATGACGAAAAAATGAGTAAAGAAGGTGAATGGGTCAGATTGAACGCTGATACCGAATCTGTCAATGATATTACGGACAAGTAAGTGCTATTTTCTGTTCATGTTGGTTCATATGTCTTCATATTGCAAACATACAGTATACATGATGACGATATATGCATCCTCCCATCCCCCCATTGTTGAAACCTGTCGGAAAATTGGTAATATTGTCGGAATCTTTGTGGTCAAGCATACCTGCACATACGCAGGCCCGCCGAGTGCTAGTTCGAAAAAGTGCTACGAAAGCAATTATAACGTTCTTATCCGGAAACAATTTTTACCAAAAAAGTTGTTGGCGGGAGGTAGTTTGTCGGAAAAATATTGCCCTTGGTCCCCCCCCCAAAAAAAAAAGCACGGGACCCACAACGCCCCTGCTATTTTACCCTTTTCAGCTGTGTCTAAAAAACACCACAGAAATTTATGATGATATTTTGATCCTTTCACGTTTTTATTAACAGATTGGAAATGACATCACTATCGCCATGTCTTTCTGGAACAATCTTTCCCTCAACTTCATTCGCTAGTCCAGATGCGACTGACATGTGGACACCGAGCAATGCCACTTTACTAAGCTACTCCTCTTCAAGTTGTGAAGACCAGTCTACTCCTTCGACAACTGATGTCTACAACGAATCTATGTCTCATCTGGCAAGTTTAACGTCTTTCAAAGAAATTTCACCATTGTCATTTCGACTAACTAGCAGCTGGGATGAAACTACACAAAGTGAGAAAGAAGCGTGCATTGAAAAGGCTAGCGAAGCATGTCAAGTGATATGCGAAGTGATTGCTCCAAACGCTGGCGAAGAGCTTTTTCAAGCTATGAATTCTACAAGTGATATCCATGTCTCTGAAGAACTTGCGGCCCTTATGACTGCATACAAGAATGCTATACAACACGAAAGCTAAAATTGCAGATTTTGAGTATCTACGCGCATAATTATCCTGCGAAAATACTTATAAAATTACACGAGCCTTATGCAAAAGTGACTATGTGGCAGATCAGAAAAGCCAGACTTCATGCCCAGCAAAGTGGCCCTGGAAATATAATAGAGACACAAAAACGTTCACGAATCAGAATTGATAGAACAAAACATGATCATTTCATTGCCTTTGCAAACAGACCGTATTTTTACCAAGATGTAGCATATGGAACACGAAAGCTGAAACTCGATTCTGGACAAACGTTAACCATGCCCAACATAATTCGGAATGTAACCAGATCAACACTAATTCAACAATACTTCAAACACTGTGAAGAAGAGGAGGTGGAACCGCTCAGTCGGGCTACGTTGTTTAGAATGTTAGAAGTGAGGGAAGCGTCTGAGAGAAAATCGTTGCAAGGCATCGATAATATTGCTGCATAAGGTTCAAATGCATTTGAAAAATTGAGGAAAATCGTTATTGCAATGGAGGGTCTAGGCGTAACAAAGTCATGGGTTGAGAGTACTTTAAGAAAATTAAACAACGCTATACTATATCTCAGAACCGACTACAGTGTGCATTGCAAAGAACAAAGTCCATGCCCAGATCACTGCAGAAGTTTTGCGTTAAGCGATTCAAAACTAACTTGTTTTCAGAAGTCTTGCAATCATGAACATAATCTTTTCTGCGATAGATGTGAAGAGCTCAAATTTGTCCTTAGTGAGATTGAGAACATTATTCGAACTCATACAAGCACCATGTATTCTAACGAGCAACAAGGAGACTACGTGCACGATTTCGGTAAATGCTGGAAGTATGTACTTATGCGCATTTGATGGACTCATGTACTCAAGACTGGTTCTCCGTTTTATCTCTCCTAGAAAATCTTCTTCAAGTTCTACATCAGAGTAATGTCAAGATATCCAAGGTGTATTTGCGTTCAGATGAAGCTGGGTGTTATCATAACAACTTTCTTCCAGCTTCTCTGAAAGATTTAGGTCAAAGAGTAGGCATTAAGGTCATGCGTTATGATTTTTCTGAGCCACAGCATGGCAAAGATGTCTGTGACCGAATTCTTTGTCCTATGAAACATGCAATACAGAAATACTGCAATGAAGGACATGACATTTTGACAGCCAGCGACATGAGGAGAGCATTACTTGAACGCCCAGTTAGTGGAACCACCGCCTCAGTAAACTGAATAGATTACTCTTCCAGAACAATCAAAGTAAAGAACATTGACGGTATTAGTACGTACCATAACATTGAGTTCGAAGACACAGGCATAAGGGTGTGGAAAGCTTTTGGAATTGGTGAAGGTAGATTTCTTCCTTTCAAAGATATTTTGATAAATCCACAACTGAGTACCAATATTCAACAAGAAGAAGAATTTTCCAAGAAAGAAAGTAGGCCAGTTAAGCCAGATGAGCGTCGTAATACTGAAGATGGGCTGTTTGAATGTAGTGTTGTGGGATGTGGGAAGGTTTTCCGAAGTTTTGAAGATCTTGAACTTCATTTAGACGTAGGGAAGGATGAAAGCATAGTCCAAAGTGAATCATTGTATGACCAGTTGAGAAGGGATTGGGCAGAAAAATTTCTGACTATTGACTGCAGAAAGAAAAGCAAGAACGCTGGAGCTGTTGAGTCAATGGGTGCAGTTTCGTCTGACCAAAATGCATGTGAGAACAGAATGGGTTGGGCACTGAGTAAGTCCAGAGCTGGAAGCTTACGTTTTAGCCAAAATGTGAGAGACTACCTGACAGAAAGATTTGATTTAGGTGAAATTACAGGGATGAAGAGCAATCCGTCAGATGTGGAGAATGATATGCGAAGTGCAAGAAATGAGAGGAACGAAAAGCGTTTCACTCGAGATGAATGGCTGACAGCGTCTCAGATTAAAAATTTCTTTTCTCGATTATCAGCTGCCCGGAAGAAGCACGGCAATGAAAAGGCGCGGGTCTTGATGTCTGACTTAGAAAGTTCTGAAGACGAAGATTTACTGGCAATTGCACAAGATATTTGCGATCAAGAGCTTGTTGACAGCATTCTTGAACGACTAGGTGTACAACATCCCATTGTCTATGATGTATACAATCTCTGTGATTATTTCAAGAAAGATAAACTTAATGTTTTCAGCGTTAAAATGCTGAAATCCATCTGCAAAGAGTTCGAATTACCCTTCAAGTCAAAGGACCTCAAATCCTCACTGATTGAGAAAGTCAAAGATATGCTAGCTGGATTTACCTGTAACTCTTAATTGATATTAACTAGATATCAATCTGAAAACTCAACAGAAAACCAAATCAATCACTGTAGAAATCAACTTAATTATATCGTTGTTAAACGATGGAGCATTTACCGACAGGAGCATTTACCGACAGCGAAAGTAAACAATTATGCATGTCATAGGATGAGGGATTTACCTTGCAAGTATGGTGAACTTATTTCAAAGCCGACCAAACTCTAACTACCTGTGCATAGTGCATGTACGTTATATTATAAACATGCGTTTCTAATAGGGAATGATGTAATGAACATGACTCCCATGTCCATAATTTTCTAAAAATATCAGTCTAAAAATAACACAACACATATTTGAATAGCTACCTTGGGGGAAACCCGCCCTACTATTGGCTGTAAATTTTCTCATTTCTTTGCCTTTCGTCGTTGCTCCCGACAATTTTTGAATGTTGTTTATGCTCACAAGAGTTATTGCTTATGCTGAATGAACTACAGCAATATACCAATAAATATATTTGTCATTTGATGAAACTGGATGAATATATACAAAACCCTTAATTGATGATTTTTGTAATTGCAATTATACCAAGGGACACGCTTGTTTTTATCGATTTCAAAAGTATGCTAGCGAAAGCAAACATGCAGCATGCATGAAATATTGTTCTTTTTCTTTGGAAATATCAAATAGACGTGATCAAATGTCTTAAACATATGATTTAAGTTGTTTGTTTAATGTCATACTGAGATGATAATTTCTGAGTGTAGTTATAATGCCAGGTCAAACTTGCAAATATTTCATTTAAATTCGGAGCGCACCAGTTTGTTTCCCCAAAAACGTTTTTTCATAGAGTTATAGAACAATATTTGTAGTATAATTTTGAGTTTAGTCTGGGTGTATAGCTGGTTGCACTTTTGAAAAAAAACAAAGTTGAAAGATGGTTATTTTCGCAATTTTGCCGGTACGTCAGAATTGACGTTAGAAAAAATTTTAAAAAAAAAAGCGAATTCCTGTAATATATACAAATCATTGCCGTCAAAATGTTGTATAGATGTAAATCGTTCGGATGACCCAAAAATAAAAATCAAATTATGCCGTGCACATATCTGGAGTTCCTTTGAAAATGGATAATTTTACGTCTGAAACTGTCTAAAAATAGCCATGGCAGACACAAAATAGAAAATATAGCAAAACTTGAAAAATAAAATAACAATCCAAAAGATGTATGCATATTTTTTACATACTAACAAAGGCTAACAAATGACAGAAATATGAAGGGAAAACAATTTTCAACGCGAGAGTCAGTAGGTGGATCTTAGGGAGACGGCCTCTTAAAATTCAAAAATTGATCACTTTTTTCGATTAATAATGGAACAAGAACAGACTGTTTATTGTTTACTTGAAGGATGAGATGTTTTTGACGTTATGCCAATGGAGATTGCTTGTCGTGAAGTGTTGGAATAGCAACATTACGACTGGGGTAAACTTAGTAACCTTTACTTGAGATTCATTATAAATTTCAAACAGACTTGATACGTTATATGTTCCTCAAGAAAATTACCTTTTGGTTGATGTTGACTCTGTTCTTGCACTGAAGAAAACTATGGGGCGCCGAACTAGTCAATATTGCAATTGAATATATTTGGTACGTTCGACTTTATGTTTGGCCAACATCTTTTTTCTTTTTGCCATTTTCTGTTTTTCTCTGGGGTTTTTTATTTTTTATATGGCCTATTCAAGTTTTTGTAACCTCACCTACTTTCTATATGCTCAACGCGACTTTTTATATGGTCAAGGTTTTTTTATATGGTCAACGACTTTTTATATGGTCAACGACTGTTTGTATGGTCAACGACTTTTTATATGGTCAACGACTTTTTATATGCTCAATGACTTTTTATATGCTCAATGACTTTTTATATGCTCAATTACTTTTTATATGCTCAATTACTTTTTATATGCTCATTCTATCTGATCAGCGACTTTTTAATGTGCAGTCAACAAACTGTTAAAAACCGAAAAGATTTTCGTCTGTTCACTGTTCAGTATTTTCAAAATTGTAACGTTATATATAGTCTTTTGTAAATCAGTTTCGAGAATGAGTCGAACCACAAACAGAGATAGAAATGAATCGGGGTTGTTTTTGTTCTTTGACAATCTTAAGTCGTTGTTGGGGTCAGTTGTATCGTTTGAAGAGCAAAGCAGGTCTCAAGGATTGTCAGTGGAGGAGATTGACGAGGTAGTAGATCGACTGAATGTTGCTGCAGATACTCTTCAATTACTTATAACAGATATTGATGGCAATGATGCATTTGCTGATGTGACAGTAAATTTGAACACTACTGTCAACAAGGTGAGACGCTTGTCTAATATTTTACAACAATACAAGAACAACACCTCTGCATCAGCCTGGGAAAATTCCTATAACTGTCCAATCGCTTCAACGGAGAACCGTCCAGGTCGCCCACATTATGTTATTAGGGAAGAGCAAATTCGATTTCTAAGAGAATTGCACTTCTCTTGGATAAAGATTGCAAATCTTCTTGGATTTACTTGTATGGTATGACAACAGAGGAGGAACCAAACTGGGCAATGATTACGGACGATGAGTTGGAAAGAACCGTTCGAGAAATCCAAGAATTAACTCCTAATATAGGACATGCACGACTACTTGGTGCACTAAGAAGCAGGGGTCTAAATATTCAGCGGAGGCGAGTGAGAAATTGCCTTCGCTCTATTGATCCCATTGGTACAGCACTACGGTGGCGTTCACCAATTTGTTGAAGAAAATACGTGTCGAAGAACACCTACGGATTACCGTCGAGGGTCCGAAGTGACCATGGTATGGAAAATTTCAAAGTGGCGCAGTTTATGTTACAACACAGAGGCACTGGAAGAGGAAGCATCATTACCGGTAGTTCGGTACACAACTCCCGTGTTGAGAGGGCTCACAGAGATGTTTACTCTGGAGTACTTTGTTTCTTTGCAAGAACATTTACTCGATTGGAAGATAATCAGCTCCTGGACCCGCTCAATGAGTTACATTTATTTGCACTGCATTATATATATATATCCCCAGAATAAATAAATGTTTACAAGAATTCAAAAGCCAGTGGAAAAACCATCCCTTATCATCTGAACGAAATCGCACTCCACTTCAATTATTTACGTCTGGTGTAATTCAAAATCAACAGTCAGGTTATTCTGGAGTTCAAAGTATCTTAGATGCTGGATATACGCCCAATTATGGGTTTGATCCGTCTGGTCCATTATCTGTGGAGGACGATGACTATCAAGTTGTAGTTCCAGAAACAAACATCCAAATTTCTAGTGAACAGATGACAAATTTGGCAAACCAATGCAACCCTTTGCAAGAAGATGGTACAAATGGTCAAAATACGTATCTTCAGTGTCTTGCAATTTTAAATTCTATGATTTAAATTGTAGCCGTACAATACCTATGCAGTGAAATTTCACC